ATCCACCCCCTCCACATTGGGATATGTGACAAACCCAATGTCCCTGGAATGCTTGGGGTTTTGATCCTTCATTACTACACAGTCTGTGAGGGTTCTCCATTGTTGAAAGTGGCTTCTCAGACTCTTATCAGTTGTTTTCAATCTCAGCCCTCCAATCAAGAGCTTCCACAGCTGTTTGGGTTCCTTAAGCAACTGACTTAGACATGAATACAGTCAGGAAAAAGACTGAAGATGCTTTCTCCATCGTGTGCATCAGGACAAAGGAATAAGCCACCAAAGGTAGTTAGCAGTCTACCATGTCTCATGTATCTTTTACTTATTTATTTTGTATTTTAGGGAAGGGTCTACAGGGTGTTTAGGGCCTCACTACTAGATTGGACTGGTAGTGATCTGCCTGTTTGCAGCCTCCCAAGAGCTGGGATTATAGGTGTGTGCCACCATGCCCAGTCTCAATTGCTGTTTTAGCGCTGGGGCGGGGCTGGCACAGCAGTCCAGGAGAGTGAACCCCCACCCCTCGGCCCCTGCACCTGCTTGCAGGTGCTTTAATCCGCTGAGCTATTTGGCCAGCCCTTTTTAAAGCTTTATAAATCCTTCCCACACCCATGAAGTTCTCCCACACTTTTAAAAATACTTAAAATGTTCTTAATCATTTTTTAAAGTTATAAACCTACATAATTTTAGCAACATACATGTAAGTATGGTACTGTAAAATCCCATGATATAGCAAAATATCCAGGATAAATAATTTAGATTAGGGCTGGCCAAATAGCTCAGTGGATTAAAGCACCTGTTTAGGCAGATGCAGGGGCTGGGTGTTCGATCCTGGGCTTGCCATGCCAGCCCCGTCCCAGGGGCATGTTGAGATGGCAATTGAGACTGGGTGTGGCGGTGTGCACCTGCAATTCCAGAACTTGGGAGGCTTGTAAGCAGGAGGATCACTATGAATCCAATCTATGCAGTGAGGCCCCATAGACCCTGTCCTAAAAAAAAAAATTTTTTTTTGGATTAATATCTTTGAAAACCCGTGAAACAATGAGCCCATGAAAGTTGAACCACAAAATAGTAAGGTACTACTGTATATTAAACGTGTTCCTTGATATAGGGGAATGAAACTCCTAAACTGGAAGATACTTGGACTGAGTTCACGTTCTCGGAAACTGAAGAATGAATTTTAGGAATGACAGAGGGTAAGACCAGAAGATGTTCATCGGGGGAAAGAAACCTCCTGTCCAAGAGAGGAACCAAAGAGGGACACGAGCAGGTTTCCCCAGAAGCTGTGTCTTCTAGGGATTTTTTATAAGGGAAAAAAAACATGAGGTCAGGCTGGTCTAAGGTGAAGAACATGAGAACTTGCTTAGGTGGGCATGAGTGGGACAAAAGTATGGTCAATTGAGGCGATCACAAGAACAATCACTCAGGTAAAATTGATTAAATGCAGTACCAAATGGGGAAGTGAGTCATGTAGCATGTGGGCATGGCAAGCGGGCATGAAAACAGAACAGGAACTTCTCCTGTGGTGGGCTGGGTTAGTGACTTCCAGGCATCCTTAGGGTGAGAGACTCATTTAGAATATCAGTCCTGGATGCTTAGCTTTAGGAAGGTATATGTGGCTGCATTTGTTTCCTCTTTTGTCTTGATGTCTGGCCCACAGCAGGGGTCTATCTCTCTAGGGTAAAGTCATCTTTTTCTGCCATACTGTCTCCTTGAGGGCACAGCTCTGACTTCCTATAATATTTTTATCTAGCTCAGCTGCCCACAACATTCATGATTCCAGAAGTACAGGTCTTACAAAATGTAAAACAAAGATTGCTTATTGTGATTAGAAATTCAGATTCTGACTTCTACCTTTAACTTGTGATGTATATCCCATTAAAGAATGACAAATTCAGCAAAAACTTCTTGTGTGTTAGAAATGATTGATTAAAAGTATTATGGTATGTCAAAATGAAAATTTAAGTGTATCACAAAATGTCATGGGAATTGTCATACTTCAAGTTTATATGGTTTTGATTTCTAAATTTCTGTGTAAAATATGTAATTATTGCCTTTTAATATTCTATAGGGATTTAAACAATAGAATATCCATGGTTGTTAGAAAATAACAGTTCCATTTTGTGTCTAAGGTGTTTGATAGTCAGATGAAGTGGTAATGCTAAGCTTACTGCCTCTTTTACAGGGTAATGTCATTAAACTCTTCTGGATGTTTAATAACTGAGGCTGGGAGATCAAAAATTAGAGAGACAGATGGGCTAAGATGTTAGCCAATATTTTGCTTCTAGCTCTCTGAGGACATAAGAGAACCTCTGCTGCAACATCATATAACTCAGTTGAGTCCCTAATTTTTTGATTAAGGAGATTATGGTACCACAGAGGCAAGTGATCAATGATGACTTAGCTCTTACCTCCTTGTTTATCTTTTCCTCTTTCCTGCCATCATTTCTCCCTGAGGTACACTTAGAGACCAAAGGATCCCTACATTTTGGGGACAGCCAGGAACCTAAATGCTAATTTTTGTTATAAACTGTAACCTTTTTAACCAATATTTAGTAAAATATTGTATTTTAAGTCCCACTGTACTAACTCTAGAGGCAGCCTTGAATCTGACTATTGCTAAGTAACATTTTCTGAGAAGCTTAACGATTCAAGCTTTTAAGTAAAAGAATGCACAGCTAGTGGTCTATTAATGCCTGTGTCACACATTTCCAATCAGTTAATCAATTGTAAGGCTCAAGAATCTATAAGGTCATAAAAATAAAAAAAATTAAATGCCTTTTATGCTCTTCAGTCTTTTTTGAAACCTTTGAGAAAATACTGAAACACTGAAAAAACTGAAAACACTCTCTTAAAAGTCAAATGAACGTAACTCTCATTTGCAAACACAGGCAGAAATGCATATTAAGCATTTTGAAGACACTTTGTTAGCAAGACAAAAATCAATTTCCAGCACACAGAAATTTGGATAAATATTTTGAAACACAACCAGTTGAAAATGAATCATGGACTGATAGCCACCCTGAGGGGACATTTCAGTCCGTGGAATGATGAATGTTTTGAAATTGGATACTAGAATTTCCAATTGTAGTTAACATTCCAGGGTCCGTTGAATGAATCTTCTATCCAAAGTGTTCAAGTTGACACTTATGATGGGGAAGAGTTAATTTCTAATGTTTACATTAATTTTTTAGCATGTTGTATATGGTTTTAGGCTTTCTATTCAAGGATATTTTACCCCTCATCTACATCCCCATCCTTTCTACTTCTTTTTTTCAATTTCAAGTGAGGATTTTGCTTAATTTCCCTGGCTGACTTCAGACTTTCAATCCTTCTCCTTCAATCTCTAAGGAATCTGGGATTATACATGTATATATTGATTTATATAATAAATATATATTCTAAAAGAGAATTTCCCAACTTTCATAAAACTTTCCAGGGAGGAAAAAAGGTTTGAACATTGCACACAGAGTATGAATCTTACGATGGGCTAAAGTGTATGCAGAAATGAATAAACTTTTATTCAAACCATTATGATTTATTCCTTTATTCATTAAACAAGTGTCTTGGCTTTATAAGACTCAGTTTGAGTTTTACCAACTGTTTTATGGACAAAAAAGAAGGTCTTCAGTCAGGTTGGTGCTTAGAGGTATACCTCACGTACGTGGCCTCTCCCATTGGTGAGGACATCAGTGGCATGTGTTTGGCTACCTTTCAACCACAGCAGGGATAGGCTACCAAGGGCATGATGGGAAGGAGGACTGGAACTCCACATGGGACAGCGTAGGTCTACAGAAACACCTGTGGCCTTTCCTGTGGGAATTTGATTTTAATACATCTTCCTTGAACCACATAATGATACACCATGCAAGAGAATGAACTGGTTCACTCCCTGAAAACTCTACACACAGCCTGATGCATCACAGCTGGACAAGAGGTCAGGAGGAAACACACTAGATCCTTTCTTCTTGTGGTACACAGAGGTTTCTAAGGAGTGGCAAGAAGGTAACAGGGAACTTCGAGTTCCTCAGTATCTACCTCCTCCTACAGATACCCCGGGACCCAGCACTCTTCAGTCCCTGGGTCCTTTATCCCTGCTGCAGAGCAATGAGATTACTGCATGCAACCCCAGTGACACTGCATAGGCTGCAAACCCTTTGGAAACACACTTAAGTGTTACATTTAAAACCTTTAAGAAGTTTTGAGCAACCACAGTGGGGAATGAGTTGGAGCTCCTGCTCCACAGTGGTGCTCCCGCCTTGCTCTGCATGCTCCTCATTTGATCTGAGTGTTGAGTGGATCCCAATTACCCTTCCTGTGAATGAAGCTCTCTCTGGGCTTAGATGACCATACTGTGAAGGTCACTTCCTGCCAAGGCTCTGCTATCACCCATGAGGGAATGCCTGACACCAAAAGAAGAGGTCAAATTCCCAAACTGAGACCTGAATATCTCCACTGCCAAGGGCAGGAGGTTACAGAGAAGTGCTGTGGAACCCCAGGGTCTTCTTGGGCAATACAGAGGGATTTACAAAGGCAACTGTGTAATTCCCCTGGACCCAGCACAAGTCTTGCTCTGGTCACCACTAATCCTCCACCTTCACTGAGAACATTTCTTGTGCTGAGTTGGCCCCTAGAGAAATGATCAAGTGAGGATCCTTGGGCTAGAAGACTTCTGGAGCCTCAGGCTGGCCCTCCAGAAGTGCACCACAGCAGTACCCAATGCTGGTGCTGGGGAGAAACCTTTAGCAACATAACGTGAGGAAACATAGAAGATACAACTACAAAGCACTAAGTAGAGGTGGCGGGCTAAGCATAAGAGGTATGAAACATCTAGAGTGAGTTTGTGGCATGAATCTTGAAATTTTTGTGAAATGAACATATTCTTGGTGAAACTCAGCTTCCAAACATGGCTCAATAAGGACAGTTGTCTTCAGTCATTTAAAATAAAATAGGGAATATATGGAAATCTTTTCACAAAGGAAATGTCAGACACAGTCACTGAACATGTTAAAACTTTAATAAATGCAATTTTGTAAAAGAATTTAAAAACAGAGTAAGAAAGGCACACTTTTCATACTAAGACTAACTGTACCAACTTCAAATCCTTAAAGATAATCCCAGTGGGAAAAAAAATGAGTACAACGGTATTGATAAACATAACATGGAAATTTTTGAATCAAAATATTAGAAGAAGCCATCCAGCAAGACATAAGTAAATATGGTTGCATTAGTTGAGCTACTGTGGGACAGAATGTTCTTTAGGCAGGTAGGGAGGCATGTGGCTGTTGGTCTAGCTACTTCGGCAGCTGAGTGAGGCAAACAGATAACAGTTCAAAGCCAACCTGGGGTAATTATGCAGACACAAATTGTTCATTAAAAGTAGGTCTGCTTGTGAAGTTCAGTGCTTTCACACACATCCATTCCCCTGTGAATGAGGAGGAACTCAGGGAAGGGACCAGACCCAGCATCTGCCCTGGTAGTTTACAAATTGCAACCAACTAAAAGGCTATGGAAAAGAAGACTAAAAGGTTCCAGAAAGTTTAAATGTAAGGGGACTTGAGACATGGGCTTGCCCTAAAAATCTAGGAAGGGTCAGCATCCAGGGAGTCAGTTCTCAATGGGACTCAGATCCAGCATGCCCAATGCCTAGTTGGGAGCTAGGTCACTCCCTTCCCTCGTTCCTCTTCATTTGTTCAGTGAAGAACTTGGGTGTAGGGATCTCAGGGGGCTTGTCCAACTCCAAGTTGGGTGCTTCTTTGATGTTGCACATCAGCGCATCTTTGTTCAGTCCACATGATGCCTTCAGTTACCTCTGGTGCTCATCCTTTGCTTGAGCCCTGCCCCAAGGTTTCATCACCCCAGCTCTTCAGAGCACTGGGAAGGTGACCCCGGCCTCACAGCCTCCTCCACAGCCCTCATGCTCACGATCCGCTCGCCTTGCACTCTGACATCCTACTTTCCAATCAGAAACCTCACACTCCCACACTCTGCTCCCCCAGTTTATCTTTCTCTAAGCCTTGTGTGTTAGGAGCACATGCAGAAATCCAGCCAGCTTCTAATGATAAGAACAGAGAACTGGGGTAGCTCAGCGTAGAGCGCTAGTCACTGGGTTCGATCCCAGTGCTGATCAGACAAAAGATAAGAACAATGTCTGTTTTTCACTCGGAACTCTCACCTCTTCAACCATTATTTAACACAGCTTAAAAAAACTCTCTTGTAAAAGTGCAAAGAGTAAATGTTTTAGGTTTTGCAGGTGACTTGCTTTTTAAGGACTGCTCAGTTCTGCCAGTGAACTACAAAATCAGTCATGAGCAATGCGTAAGCAAATGAGGGCTGTTGAATTTCAATAAAATTTTGTTCATAAAAACAGGCAGTGGCCAAGATTTAGTCTTCAGGCCATACCTTGAGACCCCCTGCTCTGGTGGCAGCCACCTCCACCTGGCCCTTCCCCCATCACTGGTTGATCACTGGCTTCTCTGCTGTAGTCCGCTGGTAGCCTCTTGAAGGCTGACTCTGTGCCCTCCACTTTTAAACCCTCACATCTACTACTGAGCCTTATGTGGAACTCCCAGGAGTGTAATACTAGTTCAAAATTTATGTACTGTGAGAAACATGTATTTAAATGACTACAGAAATTTTAGAGGAAAGATCACAATATTGCAATAGAATACAGAATTTAAAAACCCAAATTTATACAGAGGACACTATTTCTCTTTCTCTGAAAGAGAAACCAAAGGGGTCCTTTGATAATACACCAGTGAATAAAACTGGGCAATGCACACTGTCCTCTGGCCTCTCATCATTCCATGTACTAGGGCAGCTCTAACCCATGCAATCAATAAAAATAAATCCAATTGCCAGGAATGAAAGTGCCATTTTTTACAAACATGCTAATTTTGCAGATATGCAATTCAGTGACTCAACATAGGACTATTTTATATACATGTATCAGATCCTTGCATTAATCATCCTGGTGGAGTTAATCTAAATGAGAGTTTCTTCCCTTCTGTGTAAACAGGGTGATCGATTACCATTTCTCAGCCCTTCTACAACCTGCAAATGCACTTAGGGTTTTACCAGTGGACACCAATTTTCAAGGTGTTGCATTTCAAACCTTGAAGCCTCTACATAAACTTGCTGTGTCCCTTGCCCAGGAGGTGGTGGAGACCTATCTGCTCTCCCACCTGGTGCCTGCTTCAGCAGAGAGCTCAGGGAACTGTCATTACTTTCCTGCTCTGATGCAAGTTTGGGCTCCTGTTGCCATAAACCACTTGGATCCTGGTATGCCAAAAATCGGTCATGGAATGGCAACTGATAATTCTGTTGGCAATACAGAGGCTGTGACAGTGGCTGCAGATGGTGTCCTCAAGGGTCAGGCTGCTGTCCATGAAATAACATATACTGATAATAGTAGTTGTACACTTCCTGTTGCTGGTCTGTCCCCTGGCTAGTGAAAACATAATGGGAATGGAAGGGCAGAGAATGGTGGCTTTGCCATGCCTCAGACCTGGCATTTTCAAAATGCTGCACAGATGTACTAACATAAATAAATTTGGCTGGTGTGTACATGGAAGAAGGTCCACTTGTTTGGGTACCTTGATATTCGGGGGAACACCCTTGTTCGCTGTTGATGCCTAGGATTACAGAGTCACCTGATCTCACATGTCCAATGGGGCTGGTCTGTGTTTCCAGTGAAGAGTAGCCAGCTCCACAGACTAGTGTCTCCTGGTCACCCAAAGCAGTCTGCTTCGTGGAAGAGTCATCAGATTGTACCTGGCTGTTTGGGAAGATCAAGGCCTGAGCCCTTTGTGTAGGGAACCTGTTTAATTTCTTGATGGCAAAGATTCTCTCTTTCTCTTCAGGTGGGAGTCTGCATCTCTTACCTTGGAACCAATTCTAAAACAAACAGAAAAATACTTCAGTTAAATTCAATTGTCTAAAGGATCTACAAAATGCAGTACAGGGTTTCAGTATAAATCGTGAGGGGATTTGACGACCTTGGCAGATATAAAAGTTACATTTCTTTTTTTTTTTTGCAGAACCGGGGATTGAACTCAGGCCCTTGTGCTTGCCAGGGAAGCGCTTATTCCACTGAGCTAACTCCCTGGCCCCAAAAGTTACATTTCTTGTTATATAGGTCTTGCTTTAATTTGGTCTTAACCATCCAACAGAAAAGTATAAAAATAAGGTATAAAATGTAGAGCCATATTAATATGCTGAGCTGTAAAAGGCTCAAGTCAACAACTTCTGACACTGCCAGTCCTATGGATAACCCACTACTATTATGGACTATTGGAATATATTGGATTATTTTGCTGAATTCACACACCTAAGATATTTAAATGGCAATGGAATACCCATCTCTGACAAAATTAAACAAAAAAGGGGATATAAACTTTATACAAGATAGGATAGATATACAGCTACTTTCTTTTAAGTGAATGAATAGAAAGTTTTGTGCTAATAGTGTTTGGACAGGATAACATGTCTGCATCTTGTACTGTGAATAACTACTATAAAGACAACAATATGCAATATATTAATTATTGTAACTGTCCTACTAACCCATTTTGAAATTGTCTTATTGCTATTCATTTCTCAATAAAATTAATAAAAATAAATTCAGCTGTCTAGTAATAAATAAGGCATTTCTATTTTTTCTTTTATTAATTTTATTGAAAAACAAATAGCAATGAGACAGTTTCAAAACCGATTAGTAGGACAGTTTCAATAATTAATACATTGTATATTGCTGTCTTTATAGTGGTTATTCACAGTACAAGATGCAGACTTGATATCCTGTCCACAAACACTATTAGTACAAATCTTTCTTCTCATTGAACTAAGAGAAAGTAGCTGTATATCTATCTTAACTATTTTGTATATACAGATACAAAATGGTCCTTCATTTATATCCCCTTGTTTTGTTTAGTTTTGTCGGAGATGGGTATTCCATTGCCATTTAAGTATTGTAGGTGTGTGAATTCAGCAAAATACTCCAATATAGTCCAGTAGTCCATAATAGTAGTGGGTTATCCATAGGACTGGCAGTGTCAGAAGTTGTTGACTTGAGCCTTTTACAGCTCAGCATATTAATATGGCTTTACTTTTTATACCTCATTTTTATACTTTTTTGCTGGATGGTTAAGACCAAGATAAAGCAAGAGCTATATAACAGGAAATGTAACTTTTATATATGATAAGGTCAGTCAAATCCCCTAAGGATTTACCCTGAAACCCTGTACTGCAGTTTGTAGATCCTTTGTCAGTGTCAGCCATGTGGATGAGTCAAGGCCTTTGCTTGAACAGTTTGCTTTCTGTAAAAGCCTGAGAGAATGTTTTCTCTCCATGTGACTCCTCTTAGGCACACTCTACATAGTCAATCATTTCCACTGTGGCCTCATAATCTCCTTGATCAGAAAATTGGGGACATAACTGAGTCACAGGTTGTTGCAGTACAGGTTCTCTTATGTCCTGAGTCCTCAGGAACATTTTCTAGGTCAGCTTGGCCTCAGAGTTATTATTATATTGCTTCCTGAACACTGGGTAACATGCTAAATGAAGGCCACCCTGCCTTCGGTGGCACTTGTTACGGAAGTTTTGAAGTGTGCAGAGTTCCAAACTCCCAACTACTTCCATAGCTTACAGTGCCCCTTCCTGATTTGCAAATTGTGGTTTTCAAAATCACCCCCGACCAGTCTGCAACTTATTTATAATTTTCAGCATTTACAGAACATTCTCCCACAAAGACATTGTTACACCTTCTTTATTCACTCAGACTGTCCTACAAAGATCCCTTCGCAATCAATGTATCCTCAAATATATTCTTAAATGCATTGTATTCAAATTTCATGTACAGAGAAAGAGGGGCTTTTCATAACCAAGCAAATGTTTTAATCTATAATTTATATCCATAAAATGATAACTATTCAGGGAAATCAGAGTCCCATGACTTCTGGGGAGAGTGTGCATGTAATAAAATGCTATTGCAGCCTATCCATGATAACAACTCAATTGCTGGAGGAGAGCTTGGAATCTTTTTGCATTTTATGTGTTTGGTACAGGGTCTCACTAGGCAGCTTAGACTCGTAGTGATCCTGCTGTTTTCAGCCTCACCAATGCTGGGATTACAGGTGTGCACCACCATGCCTGGACTTGGATTTTGAGTGTCTGGCAGCATTTTGTGATTTGCATCTATCTTGACGTCCTGTCTCCATAGGGTGAAAAGTGATAGCATAGTACTTAGAAGGCTTATTGATGCACATTCATCTCTGCCCAATATCAGCTGTCATGTTTATAATTGACACCTTCCAACATGCCACCAACAAAGAAGACATTTGTGGAAGCCTCTTGTGACCCTGGGAAATGTATAGTGCTGGGCAAGTGAGGCCTAGTCTTTCCTTCTGCACTGGATACTGTGCTATTTAACTTTTTAATTTTGTCACATGTTTGGGGCTTCATTTGCATATCCAACTTCACATGTCCAAACCCAAATTTACAATGTCTCTAACACAGAGCTGCTACCTATCCAAACCTTCATTTATTAATTATACATAAATCCACTTTTCCACTGGTTTAAGTAAAAACCTAGGATCCTTCTTGTCCTGTTCTTCTCCCGCTATATGTCAAAGACCTCAGCAAACTCTCAGCTCTACCTTGAAAACATAGAAAGTCTTCCAAGGCTGAGGCATGCCACAGCCAGTTCAATGGTCTGAAAATCACAGTCTGTATCCTGAAGAATTATGAATATTACTTAACTGGTCTATGCTTCTGAGTTTTTCTCACCAACTTTTTAAAAAAATAAAATGCATGTGCAATGTATCCATACAGATAGTGAAATGCATAAAAATGACTGTTATGTGAAGTGGCACACTTTGGAACACTTTCATAAGTTCTTCTACTTTTCTTATTATGTACACAACCATATACATCCACAGAAAACTTTGAATATTGGACTTACATGAATGACACCAATTTTGCAGTGGAGTTCACTGGCTAGTTCTTTCTTTGTTGAGGAGGTAGGGTAAGGATTTTCTTCAAATGCTTGTTTCAGAATCTGTAATTCCGCCTTTGTAAATTTGTGTGGAGGCTTTGTCTTCCGTTTTCTACATTTTCTTTTCTGAGCTTCCTTATGTTCATCTTTTTTACCGCAAGATTCTGAAAAATGTGGAAACACCCAAAGAAACATGATTATCAGTGGCATTTAAAAACAGATCATTTGTGCTGTAACAACTCCTTATTTAAGATTTATAAGACTGAAACATTATACCTATTAAGAATGAAATTAATAATAAAGTAATAGACTTTTAAGATAATAAAGATAAAATGAGATTTAAATCTATCTTTCTTTCTTTCTTTCTTTCTTTCTTTCTTTCTTTCTTTCTTTCTTTCTTTCTTTCTTTCTTTCTTTCTTGACAGGTTCTAGCTTTATAGTGTAGTCTGGTCATGAACTCTGCACATAGCCCAGGCTTGCTTTGTACTCACACCCATCCTCTTCCCTCAGCCTCCTGAGTGCTGAGATTATAAGTGTGCACCAGCATGCCCAGCTGAGAGATTGCTTTTTGATATCCATTTTGTTGTTGTTGTTGTTGTTGTTGTTTATTTGTTTTGCAGTACTGGGGACTGAACCCAGGACCTTGCGCTTGCCACAGAGGCACTTATCCTACTGAGTTATCTCAGAGATTGTTTTTTGAAATGAGATTGTTAATGCACATATGATAGCATAGCACTGTATATCTATAATCCCCAATTCTGGGGCAGGAGGATGTTTTAATTAGCAGGAGAAGAACAGCCAGAGAAACTTAGTAAGATCTACTTAAAATATATATTAACTAAATAAAATGACATTCTTTAAGATTTCTAGAAAAATGAACTATTTCTTAGGCATGACACATAATTATTGGAATATAAAAGGGGAGACCAGTGAAAAAGACACAGACCTGCAAAGATACTTAACATCACTAATCAGCAAAAAAAAAAAAAAAGTTATAGTTTGTTCCTAGTTGTTCCCCCTAAAGCCTGATGCAGTCATGGGGTGGACTTCTACAGGTTGTGACTAATTCATGATCCGATGCTGGTATTATGGCAGTGAGTGCTACACCCACCCTGGGCAGGTAGCCTGTGCTGTATAAGGAAGGGAGAGAGACTTGCTAGCTGCCACAGCTGCTCTTCCTCCCTTTACTCTTTGCTGTTTTCTGCCGCCATGAATGGCTGCCCTCTGCCATGTGTCACTATGTGTTGGGGCTGGCTGCATACGGACTGAAACCTCCACTAACTGTGAGCTAAATACATCTTTCCTTCCTTCATTTTGGGTGTCAGGTATTTTGTCCCAGCAATGAGAAGAGAGTCAAGGAGACAGAAAAAACCCTCAAATCTCTAGATATCTATCACCACATATTATTTAGAATGGCCATTATTTAAAAACCAGAAAAAAATGTAGCTAAAGATTTATTAAAGTCGGAAACATGGTGTACAGTCTGTGGAAACACAATATGGTATAGCTTGTATGGCAGTTTTCCAAAAAATTAAACACTATATTATCCAACAATTATGCTCACATGAGGTACCTAAAGGAGTGCAATTCACAGGTATAACCTCAATAAAATGGTATTTTCCCAGGGCCGAGGAAAGGCAGCACTATGGAGTCAGTGTTCCACAGGTACAAGCACCAGGTATGGCAAGGGGAGAGGACACAGGGGATGGTGATACCCCAGTGGGAGCATGCCCGCTCCCCTGAAGACTAAGCTAAAAAGGCTCCAATGCTCCAGTTGATGTCATGCTTTATCAGCATTTAAAAAAATCCCCACAATCCTATGAAAGAAATTGCCCAGGACTATAAAACATGAATCTATATATCAAAATTTATGCAAAGAGAGATTTTGCCTTAATCTCAAAGCCATCACCAGAGAACTAAAGCACATGAAAACTCATGGCATCATTTCTGATGGTGGAGCACCCATAATCTGAGTCTATCTGACAGAACTCAGCTGCCAAAACTGTTGCCATGGGGTTGAAATTCCTAACACCATGTCCTAAGGTTCACAGTCAAACAGGATCACTGAGCTTCACTTAATTGGAAAATACCTGGGAAACTACTTAGTGAATGAGAGAAAACATTCATAGATTTCACTAGAGAGGTAACATTGAAGAATGACATTGTTTGCTGGATTTTTTTTCTTTTTGAGATGGGGGCTTATTATTATTATTATTTTTTTTTGAGTTTTCTTTTTT